CTAAATAGCATTCAACAAGTAGAAGCATAACGAATAGATATTTACGAAACCATTCTACCATATGATTACTCTGTCTTCCTAAAGTTTCATAACTAACATATGAATCATAACCGTAGAACCTAATAAAAAGATATTGGAAACTACTTAGTCAATAAGAGATATGTATCTTAAAATTAACTAGTTGAATCAAGATAAATTCATAATTGAAACAGAGTAATATGAATCCAATTTATTTCGTCACTAACCAAGATTACTTTCAGGAATCAGTAACAACAGTACTGAAATCTAGATTTATCGCTTTCTATTTAGTGATAACCAATAAACCAACTATTTTATTGGAATGTAAACACTTCATAGTTAATTCAATAAATATGGAAAAAAAACTTCTTAAGCAATTGACTTCCTCATAATTCTATTAAATGAAATGAAAGGAAGGTGAAGAAAAGAAGGAATAGAATATCTGCATCAAATATCAGTATTTTTATTCGAACATTGGTTGATCTAGTAAGATAAACAGACACATTTCTAACATAATTTGAAAATAAGTTCGCTATCCAATGAAATCAAATTAACGACAATCTCCCTATACTTTGAACATAATTTTAACTGAATTTTACTGTTTCTTTTGAATGAATGTACGTAAAAATAGACATTTAGGATCATAAGCTCCCAAATGCCCTGGTACGACCAAGGGTGGGGAGAATCCGCCCTCCCTCTCCGAATGCCCTCACATGGGCATGCGTATACAACCACTGCCAAGGAAGTTGTGCTTACTGCTTTCTCGTGGCGGGGGTGTTGTTTACGAAATTGAGAGGACAAAAAGCGAATGTCCGGTTCTTTAACCCGGTTGGTGGACATGTAGAGTCCACCTAGGGGAGTTGAAAAACCCTCATTCCAAACCAACGGTGCACATGGGTTCCAGGATCCTAAGGAAACAAGTGGTGTATGAACCAAACGTATGTGTACACTGTTGAACAATTTCGAAATGACATGACATCATTTTCCAGTGCTGTTTGAACAATGTTAAGAATCAGTATCGAAACGGCCATATATTTTTCACTGGCAAACCTATTGAAACAAGGGACAATCGAATTGTAACATTACAATTTAATTTAATTTTAAGAAAGTTATCCCGACCGTAGCTGCTATCTTGACGCGGTGATCGGGCTTGCCTATCGTGATGATCCAACCGAGCTATATTGGCTGGAACATATGTTCCTGCAGGTTCTACCATGCCAGGCAGGTCGATAGGAGGACGGTGAGACTAAAAGCAGCAACTCAAGCTCTGAGGGTGAAGTCGTACTGTTGACTGTAGAGCGGTGTAACAGCAGTAAGGTGTTTCCCTCCGACAACCAGCATCTACAACGACGCTGCCTTCTCACAAGGAAGGAAGGGGTTAGAAAAGGTCGACCCTAAAAATGTCGCACCTCACCTTACCTCACGGATTTTCGTCTCCGGCGGTAAGGCCCTTTGAAAAACGGAGCTAACACGTCAAAAACCTCCCACGAAAAGGCCGTGCGCGACCGGCCTCGAGCAGTTGTCCCCTGGGCTCTGCGGTCACGCTCCCAGGTCGTCAAGACCAACACTAATCCAATTTCCTTTCCAGGTTCCTCAAGAAATACCCTTCCACGGTGTGGGCAGCCGGGAAGTGATATCAGCCCTCATACCCGTAACAGCACACGAGACCAAGTTGGTCACATTCAAATCCTTCCTACACCTCCCAATACCTCTCTTATCTCCATGACTAACCCTCCTCACGTCACTTTATCACCTCGCACCACTAGGGCAAACGATTCGAGTACGCGAAACGTTATTCCTGGTCTCCTGAAACCACGCTCTAAAATACACGTAGGAGCTCTTAACGTCCGAACACTGTGCCAAAAAGGACAACAGGCTTCCATAGCTAGGACCTTAGAATATCGCGCCATCGATGTGTGCTGCGTCTCCAAAACGCGCATACAGGATCCGATTAGCGTCGTTCATTTGACATCACCATGTCAAAACAGAGAACCAACTCGATTCACGCCTCATGTATCTGGAAGCCCTGATGCTGTTTCTAGTGGACTCGCCGGCGTAGTACTGAGTCCTAGGGCAGAACTAGCTCTCTTAGACTGGATCCCAGTAGACAGTCGTTTGTGCGCTGTCCGACTAAACGGAACAGTAAGGACTCGGAAAGATAGGGACACTCTTCGTTGTCTCTTCGTCGTCTCTGCCTATTCTTCCACTGACTGAAGCTCAGATGATGTAAAAGATGAGTTTTACAGAAAGCTTTCCGACCTTCTTCGAAAAGCTAGGCGCTCTGACGTAGTAATAGTGGCTGGTGACTTTAATGCTCAAGTAGGTAAACTGAGAGAAAGGGGAAGACACCTAAGTGGATCTTATGGTGTCGTGGCTCAAAGAACAGATAATGACGACCGTCTGTTGCAGCTATTCTCAGACAACCGCCTGTTTCTTGCAAATACTAACTTTAAGCATAAGGAAAAACATCTTTCAACATGGCGACCCCCTAATTCGTCCCAACGTTGGACCCAAATAGATCACATCGCTATTAGCCACCGATGGAGGGGCTCGATAGAAGACTATCGTTCATTCTGGAGCACATGCTTAGATTCAGATCATGCTCTAGTGCGAGCGCGTATTTGCCTGCGTCTTACTGGACGTAAGAAAGACGCTGCAAGGAGACCATTTAGGGTTCTATTTAATAGTAGTCAAGCTAAGAATATATTTCAGGAACAACTAGAAAAACAGTTGGGCAGCCATGTATGTGATGCCCACCCCGAGGCAGCATGGAATGATATTGGAAAAGCTGTGGAAACAGCAGTGATCTCTGCTAGTATGGTAAACCACAAGGATAGGGAGAAACACTGAATCTCAGCAGCATCTACTGCACTGGTAGATGCTCGAATACTCATCCCACCTGGCTCTGAACATAACGAAGAGCGAAGTCAGCTTAAGCGCAAGCTGACAAGAAGTTTACGCAATGATCGTGAACAGTGGTGGGTAGCGAAAGCAAGAGAGATGGAAAAGGCAGCGGCAATACGTAATAGCAGACAATTGTTCAGACTGGTTAGGGAAACCTGTATTAGGAACCCGACTGTTAGCGAAACAATCTCAGAGAAAGATGGACATATTATACATTCTCAATCCAGGAGATTGGATCGATGGGCAGAACACTTTAGGGATTAGTTCAACTGGACTTCAGCCACACTTAGGTTTCCCACGATCTCCAGTCAACCTGAATGGCAAGTTAATGTAGGCCCTCCGTCTCTTTATGAAGTTGAAAATGCCATAGGAAATCTGAAGCGAGGGAGAGCAGCAGGCCCTGACAGGTTTAATCCTGAGAATTTTAAGGATGGTGGTTCAGTATTAGCAGTGAGATTAACCGAGGTCTTAGGTAGAGTTTGGGAACTGGATGTAATCCCATCTGGCTGGTCTCAATCACTGATTGTGCCAGTCTATAAGAAAGGACAAAAGTCCTCTTGTGACAATCACAGAGGAATCGGTTTGACCAATATAGTGTCTAAAATATTAGCTTCAATAATACTTCGACGCCTAATCAAAGCTCGTGAAGAGCAGATTAGAGAAAACCAGGCCGGTTTTCGACCTGGACGTGGTTGTATAGATCAGATATTCACACTACGTCAGGTTCTAGAACACAGACACACATTCAGACGCCCCACAATGGTAGTATTTCCCGACCTTAAGGCGGCATTCGACTCTGTTGATCGTGAGGTTCTATGGCAGTGTTTGTCACTGTATGGAGTATCAAAGAAGTACATTAACCTTGTAAAGGCTCTCTACTCGAACAAAACTGGTCGAGTGAGAGCTTATGGCGAACTGTCATCAGAATTGATTATCTCAAGTGGTGTTCGTCAGGGCTGTCCACTCTCTCCATTCTTGTTTAACGCAGTTGTTATGAAATGGGTACTAGGTAAGGATGGCAAACCAATTGATGAAGTAGTCAAACTTCATCAGCTGAGATGGCTGGGACACGTGTTACGTATGCCCAACCATCGACTGCCTTGACGTGCAATGTTTTATGGTGTACGAGTAGGTTGGAAGAAAGCTAGGGGTGGCCAGACCAAAACATGACACAAGTCCATGAAGTCACTGACAAGTGGACTGAGTCATGTTGGTGTATGCAGACTAGATGGTTGAGGACCGCGAGATGATAGCAACCGACGGTTAGAGACCATGAATGACATGGCTCAAAATCGTTTGCAATGGAGCAGGTGCATCCACTCTTGGTGTTCTGCCAAATTTTAATCTCCTGATTCCTCATTGTCTCTTTACCCTCTTCCCAAATTTATTTCACTGGATTATACTCTTTAAATAACATCTCCAAACCTTAATCCTCCCACTACGGGATTTGAATCGACAGCTGCGTCTCTGTGCTAATGTGGTGTGGCAACTCGAACTGATGTACGTACGTACAAAGTTCTACGTTGGTACTGACTGAAGAAAGTTATCACTGATAATAGAAGATAATTGAAACTGATCAATTAACATTGATATGTATCCTAGACTATTAAACGGTGAATTGATTAAAGTACTTAATTTAGTTAGATCGTGGCTAGTATCAAAATTTAGGAGGCAGATTTCACCCCCCCCCCCATCTATTCGGGACTTGTCAGCTGAATGTATTTGGATCATAATAGTAGTCACATTGAAACCTGAATCTAGTACCTACTAATTCAAATACCGACAAGTTTGGATAATTACCAACTTGCTCAAAGAGTATAAAACTTATCGGATTCTGATGTTCTCATCACAATATCTGAAGATCAACCCCAGATTCCATCATGTGTAGGTGAGCGAATCTCACCCTAAGACTAAACAAAGGACTAACTGTGGTATTATTATGTACTGAAAATAGATCTCAAAGTAATAATATAAGCTACCTACTTAATTACCTGTCTATCTACAAATGTGGTCAACCACAACTAACACAATTCGTAGTAATGTAGCAACTAAAACTGTACTCAAAATGAACACAGGTATAATTAAGTAGTTATTTTGTAATAATAACATAAGGGATTCTAATATTGTCCCTTTTTCAGTTTAAAAATAACAATAATAATAAATAGTAAACTGAAACAATAGTCACAACCGTGAGATTTCTGCTCCAAAATATTGTGGAGAGAATAAAAAACTGGCGGAGAGAAAAAAATGCTGAATAACAACACTAATAGTAATACAGTTTACTTGACGAATATTTGAATTGAACATCTCGAGGAGGAGAAAAAAAACAGGAGTCGCATAAGAAAAATAAACAAAGTTGTCATGGCTGGTAGTAGGTGAAGTAAAAAAAAAGCTGGTAACAATATAGAACTAAGTAATAAACGGCTAGTCAAGTTCGGAAAAGCGAATTCCTAGAAAAAGGACAATAAGTAATAAAAGCCCACAACCTTACTACTTGATCAAGAGGGGGGAGGGTTGGGAGGAAAGGATTGCAATGATAAAGATAATAATAATAATAATCGTAGTAATACTAGTAGTAGTAATAATATTAGCATGTAATTATATATATATGGAAACGGAGACATTTCAACAGAAAAGTAAGTACACAATAAATAGTAACAATAGAAGTTATGAGATTCACATAAATAGACTAATATCTATGAAACGTTGCACAGTTCACATAAGTCCTGTGTAACTGTAGCAACAAGAACATCAATGTTAATAATAATAATACAACTGACAACAGTGAACCATAAGAAAAGATAAACAGATAAGTAAATAAACACACTGAAGACAAAACATTCAATTCATGATGTGACAAAAGAAAGAATGAATTACAAAAATTGTTATTTAACTAGAAAAATAATAACAATGAGCGAATAAACACTTCAATGCAAATGATGATGATGATAATAATAATATAAAGGTATATTGAATGTATCATTGCTAATTCTCATCGCTGTGATTGTCACACAGTTTTGAAGAAAATAAAAGAGATAAAAAGAAGATCAACAACAAAACTGAGAGGAACACATTCAATTATGTATTTATGACAAATTTGGATAATTTAATTAAAGTCTCTAAACAAGAATGATCCAATAAAGTTGATGTATCACCAAATTCATAATCTTCATTAGCTATTTTACGTAATATACGTCGTATAATTTTACCACTACGTGTTTTTGGCAATATAGGTGCACTCTAAACATAAATAAATAAAATATGAATACAAGAGATGGAGGATTAGATTCATTAGAAAATTGTTCATAGACTATAATTATTGAATTTCAATGTAACTATGTAAAGATTAATATTAGATAATCATCGGAAATCTGGGGATAATAGATGACCATTTTGTTCTGGTATAAGGCTCTTCAGAACGAATCAACTGTTTAGTGCTTACAAGTTTTCAATATTGAGTCTAACTTCAATTGGTTCATGATTTTAATGAAACTATAGAAAATAATGAACGACTCGAAAACTTTGATTTTCAGTATTGGTTTATGCATAATTTTCTATTTTGTCATTTTGTACTAGATTCTGGATACTTTTTCTTTCTTATTATCGTTGATACTGTATTCTTTAGATAAGTTTTGTTAGTTATCCTATAAAATTTCATGTCGTCATGTTGATGTGGTACGTGAAATTAGGCCGACGCACATTTATTCCAGGCTCTATGTTGTTTATGGTTAACTAATTGTCGAGTAAATACGTTAGTGTAATCTTACCAAATTTAAGAGATATTAACCTATTCCCTTTCAAAATAATTCTAAGTTGTGACAATGTACGTTTTCTATATTCATTTCCACTCTTTAAAATACCCCTGAAAGTCCTCTGAAGCAAAGCTCTTCAATTACCTGACCGTTTCTCTACTCAGTGTTTCCCTAGAATTATGTACACAGACGAATATATCAAATTCAAGTCATTAACAATCACTTGGTGAATGAATCAGCGATAAGAAGGGAAAAGTGATCAGACACGTTTAATGGATGTATCGACACAGGGAATCGATAGTCATTTAGATCTTGCAATCTTAAATATTTTAGCTGAAACGTTTGACTGACTTGAAAAGAGCCATTTTCCTTATTGCTTTCTTTTCATAAATAAACTTCAACATTTATTGCATGAATTTCCCGAAATATTTTCACCATCACTTGATTCAGAAATTTTTGGAACCAGTGAAAAGGTTGGAAAAAGCATGGAATAAATACTAAAAGACTAGCTAAAAACAAAAATGTCACATATAAGCGGCCTTAAGCACATGTCTCTTGAACTCTGAGGTCGCACTCCCCGATCGATAAGATTAGCAATATTGAATCAGTTTTTGAGGTTACTTATGATAAAATTTCTTCGAACCAGATACAGAACTTGTCCCGTAACAACACGTGAAGTGAATTCTTGGAAACCTAATTCTTTCAATAGTTGAAATCATGAGTCAAATGAAGCTAGACCACCATGGAAAACCTAGAAGCACTGGACGGCAGTTTCGTCCTAGTATGGGACTCCTCAGCAGTGAGCATCCACTTGACTCTTTACAATTCTGAATCAAAATGAGATATACAACCTGAAAGCGCTGAACGACTGTTTCTTCTTAGTGCGAGATTCTTTGGTGGTGCCGATCTACGACCTCATATACGGGAATCGGACCCAAAACCTTCGGACTCACTCGTGGTACCAAAACCTAACCTTAAAAAACTACATTGTATTGACTAGTTTGACCTAATAATATCACATAAAATGATCACTAAATTGTATTACTTTTTATAACAAAGCAAAACAAAGAATATATATGGACAAAAAACACAATTATGTTTACTATCAAATGAAAAGAGTTAGTATACCGGAGAGAAAAGAAAGATGAATGAATAATTACATTCCAATATATAGTAGGTGTTTAGTATTTTCAGTCAACTTATCAGTATTTATTATTAAGTGAATTCATTATAACGCAGTAAATAGTAGTCCATTAAGTTATTATGATTTTTACGAGTACTAGAAATCATACTGAATTTACACGAGAAAATAATTCAGTTTAGTTTTAAAGTAAGAAGATGAGAACAATGAATAGTAACTCCCGCCAACTATTTATGGACCGATACGACACATATTTTTATTGTATAATTGATAAGTAACTAAATTATTCACATTCGTGTTCGTCTTATCATAAGCTTTATTTTGAATTATGAACTATTATTATATCATTTAACATTCTTGAGTCATGCCCAGTCTTTCAATTACTATCTTCCTCATTCACAGTCACTTTTGACTAAACCTTCTACAAATGTTGTTTCCTCTTCTATGGTACAATGTGATCTGTTTGGTTTGTATATAAACTCAGTTTGTTTGAAATATAATGATTCATATCTCAGAGGCTGAGATTGGTGTTCTGGACTTAACAGACAGGGTTGGGTAAGAAGCACGATCGCTAAGGTTTCTAGACTCCTCCTACAAATTTTGTCAGTCATTGGTTCGGTCGATAAGTCACCGTTCTACAATTGGCGGTATCACTACGCTACGCAATCATAGGTGCACAAACCCACAAACAACTTATAACAATTAACAATGCTGATTGACATAAAATGTGGGTTAAACAAAGGTTCCGATCAGTACTAACAACGAGACTGAAGTAACACTTGCTTACTTATTACACAATGATCAATTACAATAAACAACAAATCTATTACATAATTACGATTTCCTTTATTCTAGTAAAAAACAAATTCAAGTCCGTAGTTCTATTTCAGTGGTCATAGTAACATTTTGAGTAGCATACAATCTTGTTATTATCATCATTAATTCATTATAAATGATAACTATGCTATTTAATGAATAATTTAAAAGAATGTTTCATATAAAAATGAGTTCATCAAATATTATTTACTATAGAGATGATTATAATGTGTCAAATAAGCAAACTATTAGTAAGATTCAAACAAATCATAATCATAATCATAGGTTATCAAAAGAATTCCATTAGAATGAATTAATTCTTGTATTTATACAGCTAGATATGAATCATAATTTTGTCACAATTGATTGATCACTGGGTGGTGATCAATCTCATGCTTGTCTAGTCCTTATTAGTGCAGATCGAATGCTATCGATCATGTTGCAATGTGGCCACCAGTCTAGGTGACTCGACACTGCGGGCACTATGTATTGAGATTTAGATGGTGGTTGGAGGTAGTCAACAGGAAACCCTGGACCCGGGTTTCGTGCTACTTGGCACTCGTCAGCAAGGTGTACCTGTAATCTTGAGGGAACTGGTGCTCCCTGGCGGATTCGATCTCGTGTCACCCAGCTTCACAGTCAGAGACGTTACCACTGAGCTATCCGAGCCGTGACTAACCTGTATCATTACGTTATATATTGATAGGGGCACAAACCCAATAAATATAACAAAACGAGAATATTGTAAGTAATTAGTAGTGTCAATAGATCTCTTTATAACTGTGATCAGTATGAAAAGTTGATAATTTAATTAATTCTGTTCTTTTAATAAGTCAAAATGCATCTGTACATAGGTATTCACTATTTAAGATCAAAAATGTCACTTATAATTAGGCTATTTACATAATTGTTTTACAGTTGTTAGTAAAATGATAACGTATTAATTTATATGATGATATAAAACCAAAGACTGATGGAAACGTAAAGGTAAGGATTAGAATAACAAGAACAGCATTCCTACAGTTGAAGAATATATGGAACTCAAAATAATGACAATACATTTAACTATCATGTAGGTATAACGATTGATTTTACTTGTTTCGAAGTCTATCTATTTGAGAAATGAATTGTTTCCACAGTTTGACTAAAATAAAACTATATATATATGTATATATATAATTACCTGGATGTAATCTGGAGTAGCAAATGGTCCAATTTTTGTTCGAATCATTTGACATAATTCTGATTTCATTTCTTGTGTAATTATATCAACATTCATGAAACCATTCATATGATCATTTAGTATAGAATCTTTCAATGTAACAAAACAATATAAACATTCACCCTTAACTGGATGTTTTCGACCGACAACAGCAGCTTCACTAACATTTGGATCTAATAGAAGAGCATTTTCTACTTCTGCTGTACTAATAAGATGACCGCTAACATTCAGCATATCATCTAAACGACCTGATTTATGGAAATATAGAAAGTGAATAGAAAAAAATATTTATATACACAAATGCAATTTTATAACTTTTCTTCAATTTATCACAAAACATACATCGATTTTACTATTTCATTATGTCTAAGTATATTACTGATGAATTTACCTTTAGAAGCTGTACGTTATAGGTGTTACGCTTCAAAAATCGATTACTAAAACACTTTTATGATAAGTAAAACTACAGTGATCATGGTTAAAGCAAAGCTGAAAACCTCAAACTATCAGTTTGGTTCATTTTTAACTTGATCAGAAGTTACCGTATATTATAAATAAGTGCTGATTTTTTCTTGTGACAATAACCATAAGTACAGTTTTTCTAAATCGTATTTCTGTAAGGCTTTTCCCATTTACTGATTGGTTCCTGCTACTTAATTTACTAGTTTTTTCTATATATCTTAAAGTCATCTTGGTCATTGTATGTATAGAATAGTTTCATTACGAGCTGAAGAGTCCCACAATATGACGAAACGGCCGTCAAGTGCTTCCAGGTTTTCCATGGTGGTCTAACATCAATCAGTTCGTGATCTCAATCTCAATCTCAAATAATCTCCAAAACCCTATACTGATAAAATGATATTTCAACTGAATATTATGTTTAGAAAATAGTTTAATTGATGTAAATTGTTGAAAGATATAAATAATTCAACAATGATCATCGTAAAAAGATAAACAGACAGACAGTAAATACAGCATATAGAATGGGCAATAAATGGATCTATTGGGGAATAATAGAAACGCTGATAGTTAGAAATGATTTTCTGCTCAATCAATCGAGCAACAACAACCAGAGAAAATAGTCAAATAAACTGGAAGTTGTATCGTTTTTCCCTTTAGAACTAGGAACAACAATTGAATGAAAGAAAGGAATGAAAAGTAACCAATCAGTTCATCTACAATTAGGCATATACATACTAGTACTGTATTGAAAAGCATTTCTTATTTTTTAAGAAAAATAGAAGGAAATTCTAAATTGTATTCATCGGAAATGATGTATAGTTTGTAGAAGTTTGTACATACAGTTAGAATATGAGTTGAATATCAAGAGAACAATAACTAAAAAGAAAAATCATAAACACTAATGACAACAAATTAACTTATAATCTAGAATAGAAAATGATAGAAATTAATCTTTGATAAGGTTTAGTTTTGTTAACTCTCAGATTCATTAAAAAAAAAGCAGAAATTAATGATCGGTGAACAAAGAAACAAACATTTAGGATTATAGTCAATTTGTATAAATGATTAATGATGCTTTTTAGTATATATCTGTATGGTTGCGTTAATGAATGAGGTTACGCTAGTCAGGTCGTAAATATCTTGGATAATGTTTGCTTAATTTAAAAACAAATATAATGACCAAGCAGTCAGTCAGCTACAACATACGACCAGGCACATATATGCATCGGTCCAAGTTTCCATACCTCATTAACAAAACAAGATGAATACAGGATTCATAAAAGTAGTTAATTATGAGGTGGTAATATATAAAAGAAAGATTGCAATAAGGATATAGTACAGGAAGAAAGAGTTAGTTCGTAGAAAGAAAGATATGAAGCGATTTTAATCTCTTAGTTTAAGGGAAGACAGAGAGGGTATACACCGACGCCATTGTGATCAATTCTGAGCCATGTCACCAAGAGTCTCTAACCATTGGTTACGATAGTCACGCGGACCCCAACCAAGTAGTCTGCATCTACCAACATGGCTCAGACTAGAAGTTAGTGACTTCAAGCACTGATGCCACGTTTTGGTTTGGCCGCCCCTAAATTTCTTCCAACCATTTCCAATACCGCCCCCAAATGCCCTGGTACGGTCGAGAGTGGGGAGAGTCCGCTCTCCCTCTCGAAATGCTCTCACACGGCCACGCGTATATAGCCTCTGCCAGGGAAGTCCTACTCACTGCCTTTTCACATCACGGGTGTTGTTTACGAAAATGAGAGGACGAAAAGCGAATGTCCGGCGCTTTAACCGGATTTAAAACCAATGGTGCACATGGGCTCCAGTATCCTGCGGGAACAAATGGCGTATAAACCAATTGTTGGTCACCAGCTTCCATGGGACTGCATCTCCTTACGATGCTCCACTGCCTTGTGGATCAGACCTTCAGGTCGAAGGCTCGGGGTGTGGCCCCCTAAGAGAACCACCTGCTTCGATTTGGGCACCCGGGCAGTATCACAGCCCTCACACATATCGAGTGAGATTTGTGTGGCGCATATGTATTTGATGCCTCTTTGTACCATTATGTATGTGTTGAAATAAATAAATAATAATAATTTCCAATACCGGATAGCATTGCACGTCGTGGTAATCGGTGTTCAGGCATACGTAACACGTGGCCCAACCATCTCAGTCGATGAAGATTCATAACCTCATCAACTGATTTACCATCATTTCCTAATACCCTGCGTCTAACCTCACTATTACTTACCCGGTGATCCCAGCAGACGCCAGCAATATTTCTAAGGCATCTGTGGTCAAATACTAATAGCTTACGAGTGTCTTCTACTCTTAATGGCCATGTTTCGCTGCCGTAAATTAAAACAGAACGGACTGTCGCGCAGTATACTCGTCCTTTTATTGATAGACGGATATCTCGCCTTCGCCATAGGTGACGCAAGTTGGCAAAAGCCAATCGAGCTTTTCGAATCCGTGCTGAGATTTCGTCAGACACCAACTCATTAGGGCTGATCAGACTTCCAAGATAAGTGAAGTTGTCAATGATCAATCACCCTTTAGCAGGATATATATATATATATATATATATATATATATATATATATATATATATTCCCGTTGACGAGAATTCATAAAGAGATTTGATATGTGCGTTATTATGATTCATAAGTAAATCAACAAATCACATTCATTTTAATCCTCACCACTCATACCCCTTCTGATCTTGATGCAACCTGTCTTTGTTTGATTATCAATCATGAAACTGTAACCTCTTTATGACCATGACTGTTTCATATTGATTTACCGTTGCAGCATCCATGGTTATTGTTCGGTATGTCGACCTTTTATGGTGAGAAGGTAGTGTCGATGCTGATGATTCCTAACTGAGGGAAACACCTTACCTTATTTGAGTAAAGTTTGTAGTACGAATTCGCATACATACCTTAGTTTTGCTGATGTTAGTCTTACCGCTCTCTAACCGAGCTGCTTGGTATAATATAATCTAAAGGAACAAACCTTCCTCTCAATATGGTTCGACTGGTTTACCATGATAAACGGGTCCGTCCATCACGTCAAGGTAGCAGCTACTATCAGGACCTATCTACCTACTTCAGATTGAGTAACTGGACAGTATTAATGGCTCTCACATAAAAACCATGTGGCTCAAAACTGATAATATATACTTGTACTTATCAAATGAATTATCTTTTGAGCGGTTGTATCTGCTAATTTGGAATTCTAACGAAAATAATGCTTTCTTTCTCACTTATATGACCGTACTTCCCCATTAGAAACTGAAATGTCATCAACTAGGTCGATTCTTTCACTCAAAGAGAAACATTATCTTTTTTATAGTTTCGACTGTAATAAGCAAAGAGTGTTCATGGGGTTTTAAGTCATACCAACAGTGATTTTATTGTGAGAATAACTTATGATAACAGTTTGAAACTGTCTATATACAAACAGATGCAAAATAAAGAATATTTCTTCTAACTCAACTTATAACATAATTACTCAATCGAATAGACTGAATCTATAGAAAAAAAAAACAATAAAATTTCGTCAGATTTTTCTGGGACATATCACATTAATACAGCAAGAGAGAATTGAAATGAGTGCAAAAAGAGCGTGAATCCAAATATAGATAAGTCTACACATTTAGACCGGTACTTAATGATTACAAATTACAGACTACACACTTTAATGTGATCACTATCAGACTTTACTTATTTATTTTGGCATTATCAGTTAACGAATCAACTTTACTCACTTTTATTTTACTAATCTTTACAAACCACCTCTCGATTGTTTCTTAATTAAAAACGTGAAACTATAATATGTAGACGAACTAATTGGATTTCAGACAGCGCGAAATTCACTTATCCATATGGCTAAAAAGCATTTTGTCATAGTTGATGTCAGTTTGTGATGAAAACACTAACTCTAACGTTAAACTCTAAATCCTAATACTAATTTCTTACACTAATTTAAAACCCTTTTTGACCCTAGAAAGAAGGTGACTATTTTCAAGATCACTTTAGCATCGCTCAAAGGTCGTTCTTAAAATATAGCCTCACCATGGAAACTTTATTCAATTTTTATAAGTTGATTTATACAAAATACTATTACTTACCTGTTATCCAAAAATCTCCATCTTTATCTAACACAGAACCGTCACCAGCAATATAATAACCAGGAAAACGTTTAAAATAAACTGATTCAAATAATTCATGATTATTATTGATTGTTCTCATCATACCAGGCCATGGTTTAGCAAAGACCAAATAACCTTCTACATTGATACCTAGTGTTTTTGAATTTTCTGTTAAATCTTCACCACTCTCAGATAATATTCGAGCATCAATGCCAAAGAATGGTTTAGTAGCACAACCAGGTTTCATTATATTTGCTCCAGGTAATGAAGTAAGCATATGTCCACCAGTTTCTGTTTGCCAAAATGTATCTACAATTGAACATTTACCATTACCCACAACATTATAATACCATTCCCAAGCAGATACATTGATTGGCTCACCAACACTTCCAAGGACCTAAAAAGTTTATTGGGGTTTTTTTATGAAAAAAGATAAACATGGAATTATACTACATTGAAACTCTAGTTCCATTCAATAAAATTTGTAAATGTCATTGTTAATACACCATCTCAATCGGACAATTGTTAAAAGAAATGAACGTTGAATTATGTGACAAAATTATAGCTCTCTCTATACAGCAGGAAAAGTTAACTATTCTGCATTGAAAATAAATCGCAAAGTTTAACATAGAAAAGAGATATATCTAACTGCTTTGTTTACATCGGCCAACGTTAGACCTAATAAGTCATCTTAACAATTGGGTTGAATTATATAAACCCTTCGGTCTTGCATTCTTTTAAAACTGAAATCTATCATTATTACTTGCATTATTTATCTATTAATTTACTCGAACACAAATATTGGTACAAAGGGGTAACAAAACATATATGGGTCACACAAATCACTGAATTTCTGTATGGGCAGTGATACTTTTCAGGTGCACAAATCAAAGCGATGATTTTCTTAAGAGACATTTCCTTGAACTTCTGACCTATAGGTCTAATCCACAAGGAAGTGGAGCGACGTTAGATGTGGTCATACGGTAGTCGGTCATCAATAACAGGCTCATACTATTTCTTAGTGAAAGCATATCACTTCATACATTACGTAATATTCAATTAAACATTTAACCTGACGTGTAATTACATTTTTATCTTACTTAACTACTTACGCCCGTTACCCGTCGTGGAGGAGCATAGGCCGCCCCCCCCCCAGCGTTCTCCATCCAACTCTGTCCTGGGCGATCCTTTCCAGTTGCTATTCATCCTAATTTCCGCTCAAATGGAAGCTGGTTTGTTGTTGCTGATGGTATTCGGTCAACGGACATTCAGTATCTTGAGTAAACAGTTGTATATAAATAATTGTACCTTTTTGAATATGATTGTGATAGTTCTCTAAGATTTCAGCTCCGGACAGTTGAACTGTTTTGACGTTCGCATTGAAAATTGTGACTCTGGTATTGGTTGACAGTTGTTTTGAGGTCCATATGTTCTTCAACTGTGAGAATGCTGTTCTTGCTTTTCCAATCCTTGCCTTTACGTTAGCATCAGATCCTCCATGTTCATCGATTATGCTGTCCAGGTGTACGTGAACGTTTCCACATCTTCCAGAGTTTCTCGATCAAGTGTGATTGGGTTGGTGTTCTCCGTGATGAATTTGAGGATCTTGCTTTTTCTTTTGTGTATGTTGAGACCTAATGCTGCAGAGGCTTCTGCTACACTCGTTGTCTTCAACTGCATTTGATGTTATGTGTGCGTGGGGTGGAAGGACCAGGTCATCTTCACATTTTTATCTTAGTGACGCCGTATGTTACCTATATTTATGCTTATTATTAATTTCGAGTGATATTTAAACTTATTCAGGTGAATATTACATACTAGACAATATTACATGAACAATTTTATCTTAATATTATTAGTAATCCTAAATTCATATTCTATACTTCTTAAAAGATGTATTTGCTTTAAATTTTATTATTCCTTTGGATCATTAACTGGAACCTGATGAGAATTTATACAGAAAATGTATTCGCTGTCCAGCTAGTAAGAGTATAGTATACGGAAGAGCTTAAAACAACAGCGGCAAATATTCCACCAGTTTTTAGTCAACCAGAAAATAGCCTTTGTCAATAGATAGTTTATGGAAAACAAAACAAAAACATTACAGTGTACATTGATTCCAAATATGTAAATAATTTTTTTAATCTTCTACCGGTTAATCTGGCTATAAACTGAAAAAAAAACAATGACATATAAATCTGTCCTTACAGATACAAATTATCCGTCTTCTCGAGACCTTATAAGGACCCAGATTAATTTATACGAGTCCACACACTGTTCGCAGTTAGGTTTAAGGTTGACGTTTTTATCACAAATAGATGGCATCAGATATAATTTAAAAATACAATGTAGCCAAACAGAACGAATTTCATGCATAAACAAAATGCAACAGTTTCTATTTGATTCGTTTGTATATAAAACATAGTGCCACCGAATTAATATTTAATTTACGATTGAGGGTTTGAGGTTATAATTTAGGTAAAGTATCGTTTAGCCAGTTATATGCAGCCTACAAAAGCAGAATTGGAGAGTTGACAAGGTTAACACTATCACATTTACTTTATGGAGGTAAAAAGTAATTTTTTAAATCAATTTAAACGTTTTGAACAGTAAACAAAGGTATTTTTGCCGTTAGTTATACGTGATAATCCTGATTGACCTATCCCTTCTTTATACTTTCACTGATCAATTTGTATATTTCCTATTCAACCAAACGTCAAATTTAGTAAAATACAAATACTAGCCCGAAGTATTTTTTTTAAAAATTTAACTGGATACGTCAATAGCAACAGAGATGTATTCATATACTACCTTACACTATACTATATACCAATAAAATTCACAACAATTAGAAATTGACAACACAATAACGAATACTCACCTTTAATGATGTACGATCATAACATTGAACGTATTGATCACCAGCTTTTATTAACGTACGAATTGCTGTTGGAGCTGTATAGAATTTTGTCACTTTATATCGATCTACGATAGACCAATATCGACCCGGATCAGGCCAAGTTGGAATACCTTCAAATATTACACTTGTAGCACCGTTTAATAATGGTCCATATACAACGTATGAATGACCTAAAAAGAAATGATAATTAAGTTATTTGTGCCTTATCCTTGACAACATATTTTGTTAATTTTCAGAAGAATATAAACCTTTTAAATATTAACAATGTCATAATGAATATTATATTGTACATCAATTATTTACCTGTTTAAAGTAATTATATCAATTGAAAATCTACCTAGAATTTTATGTACACATATACTACTAAATATTTCTATTACTTTTGGGAAATGTTTAAACTGTCTAGTTTGAAAAATGAGAATTAAGCTAAGTTTCAGAGAGATCATAAATAAAAACAACTCAAGCAGAAAGCCTGAACAGAGATTGATAATGGTTGTAGAACCATTAACAGTTTACAGTTTTTCAACATTTTACACTCAGAACTTTACATATGGAATTGAACCTAAGACCTTCAGGTCTGATGATGAAAATGATGCCCTTAAACTATTGAGTAAGGACCACAATGGTCTAGGTAGTGGTCGAATTAGAATAGATTAAGTACTATTCGATCTAATGACATAATGAATGATGAATCAAGTTTTTGAACCAATGAGTTATGATTCCAAAAATCTGCACATACTCCACGATCCTAAAGGATACACCTAGCACATAACACCCGAGAATCAGACAGTAATCGCCAGCTGTTAGAGTTTGTGGGGCTGTGGTGCACTAACTTAATGTCACTGATTCACAGATTTAAAAATCAATCCTTTCCATTTTGATTAACCGAACCTAGTTGTACCGTTAGCTTTAATACGATAAACACAGCTTATAGTTAAACACACCAGCTTACAAGGGATAAGTGGGATAAATTTCGATTTCGTATTTATTTATTTAAACACATAAATACTAGTACAAGTAGGCACCAAACAGATATGAGCCACATAAATCATTCGATTTTTGCAAGGGCTGGGATACCGCCCGAGTGCCCAGACCGAACCAGATGATTTTCTCAGGGGGTCACACCTCGAGCCTTCGACCTAAGGGTCTGATCCACAAGGCAGTGGAGCATCGTAAGGAGATGCAGTCCCATGATAGCCGGCGACCAATAATTGATTCACACGCCATTTGTTCTCTCAGGATACTGGAACCCATGTGCACCTTTGGTTTGGAATGAGGGTTTTCCAACTCCCCTATGTGGACCCTCCATATCCACCAACCCAGTTAAAGCGCTGGACAATCGCTTTTCGTCCTCTCGATTTCGTAAACAACACCCCCGCCGCGAGTAGAACTTCCCTGGTAGTGGCTGTATATGCATGGGCCATGTAAGTAAGAGAAACAAATGAACATTCCTCAAGATTTAGTGGTAGTTCCGTGAAGACAAGGAAACTGATAAAGCCACCTAGTCTCATTCGACGGTTATCAGCCCTCATAAACTTTAACATACGTACATGAAACTAAATAATCTCAATTTCTGCTGTTTTGCATTATCCTGTTTTCGATATATTTCGACTTAGTCTTAGTTGGCATATGTAAATTCTGTGCACATTGTCTCAATATATCCATTATAACACAAATCCAAATACACTCCACTGCTAGACACATTCCATTTATTCTGTATAAATTTTTGTTATAATGGCTATATCGAGGCAAACCGTACAGGATAGACATATATCCACTAAGACTTACTAAATTTCAGCCAACCACCTCCCAGTTCCACCGGTGTGTAACCAACTCACACCTGACGTCTTTAGACTCCAATGTTCACGACTTCTCAGTAGAACTCCGTGGATTACCTCTTGAAACTAGCTGCTAATGAGCACAGAGTAGAATGAGAAAGAAGCTGTCCAGTGCTGTCTCATTTTCACTGGATGTTTAAGGTTAGTCCATGATGTAAACTAAGAAAATTCAAACATCACAAAACTCCCCATGCTAAATAACTAAATATTGTTAAAGATTTTTCATAAACACACTCAGTTGTATGCATCTGAACACAGAATCGATTTAAAATAAATTCATTATCAGTATAGCATAACACACCTGTTATCCAACCGGCATCAGCAGTACACCAATATATATCATCTTCATGATAATCAAACGTGTAGAAGAATGTTGTAGCTGTATAAACCATGTAGCCACCTGTGGTGTGTACAACACCTTTCGGTCGTCCTGTACTGCCACTTGTATAAAGTATAAATAACGGATCTTCTGAATTCACCCATTCTACAGGACAATCAGTATTTTCAGGAATAGTACTGATTATATCATGCCACCAATAATCACGACCATCCTTCAATGGAACATCAAGCCTATTTAAAGTTATCAAAAAGAAAATAGTGTTACTAGGAAAATATATCAGTAAAATAAAACCTAAGTAGAAAAATAACAAGTCAAATAGACTGAACATCATATAGTAATAGAGACTGGCAAAAAACTCCGGCTAAAACTAGTGGTGCATGAACCATTTACAAAGAACAAACTTATGTACTCAGATTTAAGCTATACATTTTGCGCCCGAGTGTGTGTGTGTGTGTAGGAAATAATGGTACTTCTCGACTGTCCCTAATAAAATGTATGAAGTGGACTTCGTAACTTAACCTTCTACATTAACAGATCACTGAATAGCAACCAGTCTTATGATTATCTAGCCATTAATGTTAATTGAATTAAATCAACCTTGTTTAACTGACGGATCATTTTTGGTACGGTCGAAATTTATTTATAGTATGAAGTGAATTCTTTCTTTCTAATTGTCAACATTTTAAATAACAATTTCCTATTCATGATTGTTTATGTTTGAAAAGAACTAGATGGCCAAATAGATAGAGTTTGATCAACTCTAACACCTACGCAAACATTGGTTATCTATTCAGTGGATCGATAAGTAAATAAACATTTGTCAACTCTTACTTGGTAAGCTATACTTCACTGGGATGAAAAATGACTTCAACCTTCTAAATATTTGTCAGTCAGTCAGTCAGCTACAACGTAGAACCAGGCACATATATGCATCGGTCAAAGTTGCCATACCGTATTAGCACAACAAGATGAACACAGGATTCATAGGAGTGGTCAAGTCAATAGTGGTAATATATAAAAGGAAGATTGCATATAAGAATATAGTACAGGAAGAAAGAATTAGTTCGTAAAAAGAAAGATATGAAGTGATTTTAATCTCTTAGTTTAAGGGAAAACAATAAATCAAAAGTGAAAATTAATAAAAATTTAAGGTAAAACATTATAATTATTTTGAAGATGCTAACTACATCATCTTTCAACATAACATTCAGGAGAAACTAATTATTAAATTAATGTATTGACCTGAAGTGAATTTTGTTCAGTTAACCTTATGTACTATTGAATTCAGGTTAAGTTCCGTTCATTGAATATGAAATTAGTCATTTAATTGTTAATGTAGTTCTTTTGTATTCATAAATTCATGGTGAATTTTTTTCGCTCCAATGATGAACAACTACTTAGTATGATAAACATTATACTTACTATTGTAATTAGTATATAGGTGAATAAATAAATAATGCAAATTTGGGCTCTACATTCTAATTAAAGAGTACGAAAGCAAAGGGTAGAAACAATCTCATTCATCATTATGATGAAGTTTGAGTTGTAAATAATTAGTTTAATGTACAAATATATAACAAATTAATTTTCATCAATAAAAATTATTTATGATAAAAGGACCTTAAAAGTGAATTTTATTTTCCAATGACAAAAAAAAACTTACATTGTAGCGGGTCGAACGCCATCTTTACTTTCAACATTATTACTGATTCCATTAATGGATTTAGAGGGAAAAGCAGTAACATGTTGAAATACAACACATCGTTGGATAAAATATCCTTTATCTTCACACATATCCATTGCAGTAGATGCAATTGATTTAAGTTGAATAAGTTTCGACCCTCTCCATGTTCCATCAGCAGTGATAAGAATGCTACATCTGATTAAAAGAAATAAAAACAGGTAAGAGATTTTTTTTATTACTTCGAAATAATAAATATACTGAGATAACAATTCTACTAAGTGAAATCTGCACAGTTCAAATATTAAATCAATGCGCATAAACGAAACAACAAATTACAGAATTTAGGGAAAAAAGAAATATGTAATTTTTTAACAGAAAAGTGTTGAATAAATATATTTGAATAACTCTATTTTGACGATTTCTCATAATGGCTAGTATCACGTACTGATTGTAGTTAAACAACTATTGAAAACTAGGAAGCCCTGGACAACTATCTTCTACTGCTATGGGGCTTCTCATCAGTATGTATCCATAGCCCATCACCAGAGGTCGAACCCAGGACTCCAATCACGCGCGCGAACGCTTAGCTTCTAGACCCCTGAGTCATCCTATACGGAACGGCAGTCCAGTGTTTGTCAGTTTTCAGCGGCTGTTTAACTAAGATCAGTTCATGATTTTAACTAGAAAATCTTCATAACCCTCCCATCTTAGTGATGAATAATCAGCTGCAAAGACAGAACATAATTAAGCAACGAATAATAACGATTATAAACAATAAATCGTTGAAATAATTTAATTAACAAAATTGAGATGGGACAAAAAGTCAGAAGATACAGAAGAGAGAGAAAGAGGTAAGAGGATAGGAAGGAGAAGAGAAAGAACACTGTAATTCCCCTATTGAGGACACATAGACTGATGATAAGAATTTACTGAGCCTCCAAAATAAATCAAAATGATACATGAATACACTCATCTACATGTCAATTTTACTCACATTTCATGATTAGTTAACAACTATTACGTATAGGAGAAATACACAGAATTACTACAAAAACTCAAGCTACATGTCATACTGAACAAAGTTCACATTTAATTGATACAAAGGATACTGCCCCGAAGAAACATAACACTGAAATATAATCAACGTTGTATTGAACAAAATATTACCCTGAAAATAAGACAAATATTACAGAGTAATCATCATATTAAATTAAAATGGAAGTAACGTTGAACGAAAATTTAAGTTCGTATGTCATTCACACTCTAGTCAACTAACCCATTGCTCGGTATATCAGAGAAAATAAAGGAAGAGAAGATGTAAAAAGAAACGTTGTATATCACAATTGAAAATGATCCATATTTATTTTGTATATAATCTAGACATATCAAATAAAGTGAAGTAACCAGTAATAAATAAATAAACACAAGAAATTGAACGATTAAGATTAGGGGCGGCCAAACCAAAACGTGGCATCAGTCCTTGAAGTCACTAACTTCCGGTCTAAGCCATGTTGATAGATGAAGACTACTTGGTCGAAGTCCGCGTGACTATCATAACTAACCGTTGGAGACTGGGTGATGTGGCTTAGAATCGATCACAATGGCATATGTGTATACATTCTTTATCTTCCTTTAAGCCGTGAGATTAAAACTGCCTTATACCTTTCTACGAACTAATTTTTTCTTACTGTATTATATCCTTATATGCAATATTTCTTTTATATATTACAACCAATGAAGTAACTGCTTCTATGAATTCGGTGTTCATCTTGTTGTGTTAATGAGGTATAGCAACTTTGACCGATGCATATATGTGCCTGGTTCCACCTTGTAGCTGACTGTAGGTGGATTTGTGAGAAAAAAAGAATTATGTAATGAGTGAGATTGTTTCCAGACAGCACATTTGTTATAAGGTGAAAAATAATGCTGATTAAGGGATAGCGAATTATTGATCGGACCAAAGACGCGCAAACACGTAGAACGACCTAGGGTTCTGATTGGTCTCGCTTCCCTGTCTAGCCCAGTCAATTGAGTCCAGAACACAAGTCACAGCCTCGGATATATGAATCATTATATTTCAAACATACTTTGTTTATATACCATTCAAGCAGTCCACAACGTACCATAAAATAGAAGATAACATTGTACAATAATGGCCAGTAGGAAAGTAACACGTTAAATAAATATTGACCAATAAGATGATACCATTTTATGTCCAAGGATAGCATTAGGCTTAACAGGATAATTTTTGGGATATTTTCCTGAATATCCCAACAACATTTTAATTAGATAAACGAAAACTTCAACCTTCTTTCTTTCTTTATGCATGATGTGTTGGAAATACATGATGGAGATGATTTTCTTAAGATAAAGTAAATTTTGTGTTGCTTGGTAATTATTTTTAAACCTTTGGAGATATCTATTTCCGAAACTTTTGTCCAATCAGAAATCGCCGAACGGTAAGTGCGAATGATTGACCAAGGAATTGTTTTCATTTTCAAGGGATGAGACCCATATATAAGTCTATATTCAATCGATTCAGCCTACCAAAATAAACCTCCTTCCCCACTCTTCGTTTCTTCTCTTGCGTAGCTGCGCTTGTGTATAGGGGGAGTGAATATCATCATCAGCTTTCGGACACCGAGTCACGACTTTATGCTTCATCACCTTGTTGATAACTCCACTGAGTATTTTACCTTTATCAAGAACAGTCATCTAGGATTGTTCTCGGAAAATCTTTCGGAGATCCTTTTTTAGCACCCCTTATATAGTTGCGTCTACATGTGTATGTAATTTATTCAGTCAGTGATTTACCCTGAATTAAATATCATATGTACTGGATAACAAAAGACATTAATAACTGCTTGATAAAGGATGCAGTACACCAAGATACATTATCTAGATGACTGAAGTGCTGTGGTTTTACTTGGTGGAAGTCAAAATATTTTTAACTTCATCAAAAAACTTCAACCTGTCTGAAAAACAATATCTTGTCCATGTACAATAACTGGACAAAAAGCCCTAAAATTTCGAAGGGATCAAATATATTACGAATATCGCACCAGAAACCCCATTATTAGAACTGTCTAGTGATGACACAAGACAGTTGAAGAAAAATCACTTATAAAACGGATATGTAGGCTTAGTGGCTTTTAAACATATTTGTCATAAAAAAAGAACCCACAGAAATTCAAAAAGGAATACATTTATTATCTTCCTTTTCAAAAGTAGCTTCTATACGAATCCAATGGTCTAGCTTACTTCATGTGATGACACAAGTGAATAATATTGTTCCTTGATGTGGGCAGCATGGAAGTGCCAGTCCCAGCAAATCTCCATTGACAACTGAATTACTAGTATCTAAATGTTTCCGGTTTAGTTAACACCACCTTTCTAAACCTATTTTCTATATGTCCAACGGGTGTTTATGACTTCGCCCCCAAATTCCCTGGTACGGCCGAGAGTGAGGAGAGTCCGCTCTCCCTCTCGAAATACTCTCACATGGCCACGCGTATATAGCCTCTGCCAGGGAAGTCCTACTCACTGCCTTCTCGCATCACGTGTGTTGTTTACGAAAGTGAGAGGACAAAAAGCGAATGTCTAGCGCTTTAACCTTGTTCGTGGACATGGAGAGTCTACCCGGTCAGTATCACAGCCCTCACACATATCTAGTGAGATCTGTGTGACGCATATGTATATGGTGCCTCCTTGTACCAATATCTATGTGTTAAAATAAAAACAAATAAAATAATTTATGACTTCAGTTTGCGAAAAGCTATCCTTGAACACTTGACACTTTATAATAAAGTCCATGTTAGAGCCTCCAACCTTTGGACTAAGTGTTATACTGGACAACAAGCCAGATTCATCAAAACTCCTAAATCTAGTCCCATTGGAGTTGGTATCAGTTTTATATAAGTTTCAGAAATAATGAAGCTATTCTGACTAATACATAATACTAGAAGTAAAATATTTGAAAAAAAGCTGTTGGAAATACTATATTACTTGGCATCGATAATTCGATCGGCAAGAGCACAGGCGGAAAACCCACCAAATACAACAGTATGTACAGCACCAATACGAGCACATGCTAACATAGTCATCAGGAGCTCTGGAATCATAGGCATATAAATGGCAACACAATCTCCCTTTCTAATACCGAGATTCGCGAGCATTTTACCAATTCTTTTGACCTATATGGAGTATTTTAAATAATTAAAAGCAATTGGTCAAATAATTTAAGCCGACAGACTACTAAAAGCATGCAAGAAATTAATTGATTTACAAAAGTGTGAACGAGACTAACAAAAATATAGTCATCAGAATTAATTTATTAGCAAGGGTTTGTAATTTCTTATTATTGGTATTCAGGACTACAATTAGTTAGTTGGTGTTTCAAGAGAAACGTACTAGTTTCCAGTTTCAGTATAAACATCAAGATAGGGATGTAGACAAATCCCGATGATGAGTCCCAAAAAGAACGGAAAGTGCTTTCTGGATTCCACTGCTGCGCGCATACTAAATACGTCAGAATTGATTTATTTTTAAGGATTTAGTTGCAAATCATAAGGTCAATAGTTCAAACCACATATGTATAAAAGACCAGGCATTGTTTTTCAACCGGCATAACACACAACTTGCAGCAGCATGGATGAATTATATTCAATGAGCTCCTAACTTACTACTCAGATATTCAAATATATAGAAACAAGATGAGACATGATATTACTATTAACAAATCAGTACAATTGTCTCTTACAATGTATTCAGTATTGGTAATGAATTGAAACACTTGGACTTTACTGTTTCAAACAGACATGGAAAAGGAATAATGAATTGCTATTCGAATTTACAAATTTGTTTCTATCAACTAGGTTTTCGCTTTTTTTTTCTTCGAAAAAGCACCTTGTGCTTTAAAATAGCGTAGTGTTTCGTTGTGACTCGACAAACTGAACTTATTGAAGTGGCAGATATACCAAAATAAACATAATGGTCATATCAGGTTAACAGTAGAAATGAGAGCTATGAGTCAGGTTAAAAAGTTCGGAAATTCTAATAACTCGATGAAATAATAAAGCTCTCAGTTCAGAAGTATAAAAGTTGACTTCGCTGAGAAGTAAAACAGTCCAGATAATACGTTGTACAAATAAAGTAAGTGTATGCCCCCAAATGCCCTCGTACGACCGAGAGTGGGGGGAGTCCGCTCTTTGACTTGAGGTTCGAAGGCTCTGGATGTGGCCAACTAAGAAAACCACCTGGTTCGGTTTGGGCACCCGAGCAGTATCACAACTCACGCACAAATCAAGTGAATTGTGTGGCGCATATGTATTCAATGCCCCTTTGTACCAATATTTAGGCGTCCAAATAAATAAATAACTACCAACAAAAGTTCATGGAAACTACTACACTAACATTTTAACCATGAGTTGTTTGTACAACCAGTGAGTAAAATCTGTGAGTGATGCTTAGATACATACACATCTTAACTTCGTTTTGATACAAACTCTGAATTGGGAAAAAATGACAAATAGTCTGCAACCAGTTTAATTTGCAAAACAATTTTTTTTAATGAAAATACAAGGTCTAAGTACCTTGGTCAACATTTCAGAGTACGTCAAACGATTTGTATCATTTGGATCGTTGCCTTCCCATAAAATTGCCACTTTATCGTCGAAACCACGGTCAACATTGCGATCCAAGATATTGTAGCAAATATTTGTGCATCCATCCTCAAACCATTTAACAAAAATAGGTCCTTTACGGCAATCGAAATTGTAACTAAGACATTTTCCGAATGAAGGAGGTGAATGCCAGTGAAACTTCATTGCATATCCCAACCAAAATTCCTTAGGATTGCATAATGCTTTGTCAGACAATAATTTGTGTTCTTCTGCTGACTTAACATGGGCAGATTCTCTGATTAAATCACTAGGTGTAACAACACTCATAACTTTTGCGCGATTTCTTTCCCAGAAGTTTTATGATTAGAGCACAAAATGAATGAATCCAAAAGACTGGATAAGTAACCTAGAATAAAGCAAACGTAAGTTTATGACTTAGTGAACATACATTAAAGCTCCTGTTCGACCTAATAATGCAAAGTTAGGAAGGTTACACAATAACATATTATTGTGCACGGGGTTGAATTGTGTAAAGAGCTTGAAAAATGCAGTATTGAGGTAAGGGGAGTTAGCGTGAGTCATTTTTCTTTGCTGTTCGGTAGACAAATTTAATGCTGATGCATAAACAAAGTCAATCTCACCTCAACTCAAGATGCAAGTCGTAGTTACAGGGTAGGATTCATTAAATTGTTTTTCAAGAAATGATCTTTAAGACTCAATCCCCAGTAATACCAAAAAATATAGTTCTCAGTAGAATGCAGTATCAGTTATGGAAATACAGGTGCAAAAACACCAACAACTTACATTCGTTCCAATTTAAGTGTGTGAAACTTCACCATAAACCCACTTCAAATAAAGATTGTTACAAATATAGTGAAGACGAACGATAAGAAGCGTTTACAGGTCATCAGTAATTTAGGAAGCCTACTGAGGATTGTCTTATTAGTTAATATTAGCACTGTTAATAAACATGTTTGCTTACATAATGACAGTCCATTAAATTAAACTGTCTTACTATATACTCATATTTAACAAGATACGAAACCGTCGAGTAAAGTTACCTATTGACGATATATAAAGAGAAAATCCTGGGAATAACATTTCAAGTGAACTAATAACTAACGCTCTGTGAAGATTAACGTCCTGATCCCCTTCAAACAACTCAGTCAATTCGTTTCAATTCCACATGTGCGACAACAATGAAAAAAATTTTGTCTGCCCTTATGTGAAGTTTGACCAGCTCTAGGTGATTAGACTAATAGTTCAGGCCTAAACTAAAAGTGGGCTATAGTAAAGCACATAATTCACGTACTTTAATCTTGACTTCGACGTGTGTTTAGTTCGTCACTGTTTACAAATACTGCATAAAGTCTCTTATCATCTGAGTCTTACAGAAAACCACTATTAGGCAGATATAATTTGGAAAATGATGTATCCATAAAACTTGAAATAAACAGAACACGCAACTCCTTTGATCACAACTTTTCATAAAGACAATACGCTTGCAAGTCCCCCCGGATACTATGCGTTTGTGATAGTGTCCTTTTTTACAATACGAATTCAATTTTAGACTAAAATTAAAGGATCTTATTGAAAAACAAATCGACGAATGGTTCCATCGAGTAAATTGTGATAGTCACATGATAGACTGCAAAACAAACATATATCTCGCCAAATGAAAACTTCAAGGAAAAAACATGACACAAAAATTACGTTCAAACACTAATATCACCTGTCTACAAGCCTAACGGTATTAACCAAGGTCGTGTGCTTAGGTTCAACGAGTAACGCAGCTTTTGAAAGTCTCCGAGCCATTAACACCGATAACTAGACAATCTACTCAATAAAATAAAAGTAAAATATTAATCACGAAAATCCCTCCATGTTAAGAATATTTTTATTGAGCGAGAATAACTTGCCCACTTACTCAGTTACCATGTAGAATATCATGTACTTAGTATTAGATCGATCAGTGATAGGTTGAGACCAGGTAAATTCTTTAATGGAAGCTATTATTTCCACTATGGGAATTTGAGTTAGATATATTTGTTGTGGAGGTTGTTGATTGCCTTTGAGGTGTTGCCATCTTGGAGAACTACTACAACCAACTTTAAAAAGGTACGAGTATTTATAAATAATTGTTCACGCTGGACACTGAATGTCCGTTGACCATATAATGTCACCATTACCTTACTGTGGAAGAAAACAAACTGGCATCGAGCTGAAGAGGAAATCATAAAATGACGTTGGAAATTGATAGGATAAACCCTACAGAAATCTTCAAACTGCATCACGGGGTAAACGCTAACTTGGAATCCTGAGGAGAAAAGTAATAGAGGAAGCCCAAAGAACATACTGCGTTGGGAACTGGAATCAGGTATCGAAAGAATGAGTAGCAACTCGAAACAACTGGAGGGGATTGTACAGGACAGAAGGGGATTGAGAATCCTGGTGGGCGGCCTATGCTCCTCCATGAGGGGTAACGGGCGAAACACGTGGTAAGTCAGTGAGCAAGTAAACAGATCGTTCAAATTAACATTTGTCAAAGGTGTGTATTTGCCCTCATATATGTCTGTTTGTTTTATGCAAATTCAATCAACGGTTTATATCAGCAAAACAAATCTTTACGTCTACGAATAGTTTCACATCCAACTTCTTCAGTACGCAAATATCCGGTGACCAGCTTGCCTGGAAAATACTCCGATACTAAATATGCAGAAAACCTCTAATATATAGCTGTGGTCTTATTGAATACACAGAGCGTTAAGTCCAATAAAATGTGCTAAATAAAATACAAAATCGACAATAAGTATTGCTAGATGAATCTAAGAACTTTTCAAGCAAGATTTTGCACCCTTTATTCTGAGCCCATACTTAAGTGTAACGGCCAATACATTATGACTTGACGCGTTTACGGTGGGCTTGGTGTTACAGTTTTGCTGTAATTAGTTTGTAGATCACTCTTTATAGAGGTCACTTTCGATGAAACCAAGAGTCTACTGAAAGTTTTTTTTAAGTTTCACCACTTTTTTCTCAAAACTTTCACATATAATGCGCAAGCCAATGTAAACTTTAGGGTAAACAAGCTTATAATTCCGTTCAAAGTTTCACCTGCTTAAGAGGGGACCAATCTCGTAGTGTACAAACTTTCTTAATCTATTGATAATGCAGTTCATTATTCTCAAATGTAAAATTGATTGCTTAAGTACGTTTTGCGTCTCGTCTCCTCATTTAACTCTGTTGATTTCCTTCTAACCCAAGAACCCCCAAGACCTGTTAAAAGTTGGAGAATCTTGGATAACATTCAATAGTAACATTACGATTGGTGAAATTCAGATGACGGTGATGAGATGATTTGAAAACTAGCTTATGTGATTTTACCAAAAAATTTTAAGGAGCCTTCCGAATGTGAATCAAACTGTTCACGAGCAATTGTTTCCTGTATACAACTTTCAGGTGACAGTGATGATGTCACAGGTATTCAGTGTTTGACAACGCTTCTACCAGTAACACCTAATATATTTCGTTCCCGCCCAGAGAAATCAAAAGACAGAGTCGAGGAGATTGGAAGAGTATATTTGGCGATGACCAATATATCTGAATTCTCTGATCTAATCTGGCTAGCGATTGCGGTTGATGTTGAGCACGGCGTTACCACACGTGATCTGGTGCGGATGCCTGACCGAGCGCCTTCAGCTAAATGAGTCCACTAAAACATATGGTCAGCATCCAATGTCGAAAACCTAGTGCTATTTATTTTGGGGATTTATTTACCGCTACAGATCACTCCCCCCCTAGTGGGGCAGTGACGACCCTAAGACGTGGCCAGCCAGAAGTTTAAACCCAACGAGTTTGTCGTTGGTAAACACTCTTCTGATAGCTTACTAAATTTAGCAGCGTCTGGTCGTCTTTCCTTACTATATGGGACGGAGGTACAACATAGTAAAAAAAAGAAAATGTACAATGAAAATTTCGGATCCTCATAAACGTCATCGTTCTTTTCCAGCCGTCCTGGAAAAGAAAAAAGAAAATGTAAGTGCATGTCGAAGATACACTCGTATGTGCGTAAAAGCACAATGTCGGCGGAAAAAAATGGAAAATAAACTCATGAACACGTAATAGCGTTAAAAAAAATTGTTTTTTTGTTTTGTTTTTTTTCAAATAGAAATAAAAATATATAAGCATGTTAAAATTGTTTTTTTTTTTAAAAAAATAATATAAAATTTCTAGAAGTGCCTTACGTGCAATAGTCGTTTAAATGTTCTGGAAATCTCACCCTTCTTCCAGAACGCGTCGTTTTAAGTTTATTTTCGGATACTGTCGAAGTATCATCGTGTGGGTTGGTTGTCGGATGAGGTATTATAAGTGTCGGAGTCGTGTCGTTCGATTGTACCGAAGGAAAATCCACGTAGATAGGATTTCCTTCTAAATACGCTGCTTTTAAGCGATCGATACTGATGCTATCGTTGGTTCCGTTCTTATCGATCATATAGTACTTAGGTTCACGTTGAAGAACTTTGAAGGGTCCTTCGTATGCTGATTCGAATCGTCGTCGATGCGAGTCTCGACGAACGAAAACGTGTGTACTATATCGTAAGTCAGGTTGAACGAAAACATCAGTTGATTGAGGTCGAGTGGAAGAGTATATTTGGCGATGACCAATATATCTGAATTCTCTGATCTAATCTGGCTAGCGATTGCGGTTGATGTTGAGCACGGCGTTACCACACGTGATCTGGTGCGGATGCCTGACCGAGCGCCTTCAGCTAAATGAGTCCACTAAAACATATGGTCAGCATCCAATGTCGAAAACCTAGTGCTATTTATTTTGGGGATTTATTTACCGCTACAACAGTGATGAAAATATGGTCTGAAAATATTCTAAAGCTATAGACCATCAACATCCAAGACTGACACTTGGATTCGTCTAGATTTTAAGTGAACCTTACAATAGTACCCACATGCAGTATTAGGTGAACTTCACAATAGATCACTCGAGGTTTTAATTTTAATTTATGCTGTGGACGATAGTGCCTTAAAGAGCATACACTTAGGTGTCCAAATATTAGCTGTCGATTAGTACTGGTAGTTACCACTCGTTTTATATATTAAAGGAGCCAGACTAGTGGTTATAGTAGACTTTTATTCACATAGTGGAACAAAACAGTTGAAGCTTGAGGTAGTATAGTGTTTCGAATTATTTAAATTATAGTATGAACTAGGAATCCCAGAAATAACGTAATCGGATCAAGAATTACTGGATAAACACGAACGAATTCACTGTATTTAAAATTCGAAATCAAGCACTCAACAAGTACAGAGAAATCATTAGTTCATTCAAACACCACATCCGCCACAGCTTAAATTAGTTTAAGTGTCTGTAATCGATTGCACGTCTTCTTAAGTTCATCATGTGTCTGTCCGACAGTGTATTGGATAAAAAGTCGGTCTTATCTAGAATGTGCTTATTAGTATTGGAATTAACAACCGAAATCGGAACAGACTCACCTGGAATTGTATACAGTCAGTATGTCGGTTTTGTACTGAAATCATTAATATCTAGAATTCGAACCATAGATTTTTCAACACTATCCTCCCCAATGAAATAATGTTGGATCTTTATATCCTCAAGTTATGAATGATGTGGCTTCATTTAAAACATATTTCTCACACCGACTAGGATAAACACTAGAAGTGACTTCGTGATAAGGATTAACAGCAGTTGATATGAAATCATCCGAATTTTAATCAAAATCGAGCTCATTTAGTACTTGATCTTCTCACTGAACAAGTTTCCCACAAGAAACAAATGCATTATGAAGACAAATAATATTTCAATTGAAGATGGACTACGAAGGAAAACCTGGAAGCACTGGACGGTCGTTTCGTTCTAGTATGGGACTTCTCAGCAGTGAATATCCACGATCCCGCCTCCTGAGAACATCAAGATTTGATTCTTCTGAAATAGTTTCCTCGAATTTATTAGGAATGTCATTGCAGAGTAAAAGGTCATTAGAAAAATCAGCATCTATCAAAACTACATCAGGTCCTCGATCATGGCTAGGTTCACTCAACATATTTTCCTCAGATTTGTAGGGAATTTCATCAAAAATAAGTGAACCATTAGGAAAAACCATATCTTGTACAATAACATGAGAAATCTGATGAGTTGATTGATTAGAAACTGTTGTCTCACAAGGATTCTGAGTTTCATTTGACTCTGAACTGCTATATGACTATGCACTGTCTTTTGAAATCGTTGGTAAGGATAAATGATCATCATAAATACTCAACTTAATAGAATCAGAATTACAAGACCTAATATTAGTTGCAGCAAGATGAACAGTAGTATTACAAAATGACTGAATATGTCCAACATCACCACATTTAGAGCACTTAGAATTACGAAACCTACATGAATTAAAAGAGTGGAATCTGCCACAGGACAAACACTGACTAGACTTGTGCCCATCTTCATGAACTGTATCTCAACTCCTCAATGAATTATCTGCATAACCTTGAGTATACACTGGGTTGGGATGACGTAATGCAGTGGAATTTTTTATATCATCATGAGTCATTTTACAAAATCTTCCTCCTTTACCGCATTCGAACTTTGTATACTTAACATAGTCTAGCAGTAGATCCTTGAGAATTGTATAAGAAAGAGAAATGGGCTTTTCCGGTAAAGCCGGACTTTTTAATAAGCTCTATGCTTCTTTTCCGACGAATGTGAGGAAATGTGCTGCAATATTAACATCATCATCTTCCTTGGTTATAGCCCGGATTTGGAACGTTTCGAAGTAATCCTCAAAAGCATTAAAATCTGAATGTATGTCCAACCGTCCCAATCACAAGATCCTGCTCGTGACGCCAATTCGGTATTTCGAATTATCTAAATTGTAGTACAAACTA